TTTTTTTTTTTTTTTTTTTTTTTTTTTTTTTTTTTTTTTTTTTTTTTTTGTTAAATATTTGTAATGAATATTTTTATTTATACAGTGAAATTATAAAAATAATTTAATAATGATTGAATTGATCTATTAATAATAATTTTAATATACAATATATAAATATTTCTATTTATAAATTTTATATACAAAATATTTTAATAATAACGTCTCGAGTTGAGTTTCTTGCTGTGTAAGCCTATTACACAGCTTTAATGCAGTCACTTGTGCTTGTGCTTTAATTATGTGTATAAGTGCTAGTGTGCGTGTGTGTGTGTGTGTATTGAACTGAAGGTGCTTTAACTCAGCCGTCTGGCTTTAAGTTTGCTTTTGGTGGCCATGCATCAGGCTTATCTTCGGTCCGGCAGCAGAAACTGTCGCACAAATCTCGGACCATTTACCAAAGTCAGTTGGCTCTGTTCACAGCCAGCTCCCACTCTTAGAGTAACTTGTGTGTGTGTGTGTAGAAATATATGTTCGATATTTAACAGCTTCCAGTTGAACGAGTTCGGGCCATATGCAAAGAGGCAAAGTGTGCGCCAACTGCCTGTTGGCTTAAATTTAGCTTTGCCATTGGCAAGTTTGCTCAGTGCTTTGTTCGAGCACATCAACTTGCCGCAATATATATATAGATATGCTGTATATATAAATGTCTCTCGCTCTCTCTCTCTGTGTGTGTATGTGTGCAAAACAAACGTTCGGTACAAATAGCTAGCTGGCACTGTAAAAATCCAGTCAGGTAAACAAGACGGCGTCGGCGGCAACGGCGGCAGCGGCGGCAGCCAACAGTGACGTGTAGAAGTAAGCACCTGGCATTTGTGTTGAGCACGTTCGTACCTTATGTGGGATTTAGTTTTAGACTTCATTTTACTGCGCTGTGCTTTTGGTTTCATTTTGCTGCTGCTGCCGCTGCTGCTTCTTTATGCCGTTTTATGATGGCCGCAAAACCGTGCCGTAAAAAGCAGCGACACACAGAGAGTGCAACAGAGGGAGACAGAGAGAGAACAGAGAGAGAGAGAGAGAAAGCGCGAGAGATGTATAGTAAAATAAAGCCATAGACAAGCAGTCCGCCTGTCAGTACTTGAACTAAATACACATTCACCCACCCACACACACACAGATACACAGAGACACTTACATTAAGATATAGTTCATACCATAATGCACAACAAGCAGCAGCAGAGGCAGAGGCAGAGGCAGAGGCAGCAAACAGAGGCAGCCACATAGACAATGCTGTAATCTAAAAACACAAACGTGCAATTGTGTTGCTGTAAATGTGGCCAAGACTAGAAATGTGTGTATATG